CCGTTTCTAACTTCATATGTGACATTAATAATTTAATCATATTAACATACCTGTGTTAGTCGTACAATCGTGTTGAAATTTCCCTCAAAACGCATGCAGTCAAAGGTCTCTCGAAACGTGATTTTGACCTTGCAGATTTCATTGACAAGGTGTTTGAGACTTATTCCTAACGTCTTTTGACCTAAGGGTGAATTACTGCGTGAATGGTTTAAAGACACCCAATTTATTATTTTCTAAAACAGTATCTATTCTATAAAAACTATTGATTATAATTAATTTTCACCCGTTGTGAAAGAAAATTTTTATTGAAAATTAAATAATGTTAAAGTTAAGGATTATAGTTAGTTCTAGGTTAAGAAAGAAGATTTATTTTAAAAAATTTGTTTTAAAGCTAAAGCATAGTTTTATAATAAAATTTTGAAATATACGTTAAAATTTTTTGATTTTTTGATTGTTTGAATTTTTTTTTACTTCGGTTATATAAAATCTAGTAATCTAATTGGCTTTATATATAACTAGATAATATTATTCCAGAGGTAAATTAGCAATAATCTTAAATAAATTTATAGGCATTTATTTTTGGTATATTTTGCACTCTGGTGTACCCTTTGATATCTTAAAATTTTACTAGAATAATCTTTGCTGTATAATTAATAATTTGTACTTATTTGCTATTGAATACGCCAAAATATACTCTGTACCAAATATAAATTATCTAAATTTATTTATAATTTTTTTTAGATCTTTTATATTTTTAAAATTGTATTACTAGTAATACAAAAAGTATATTTTTATTTATTAATATATATATTTAAATTTATTTTTAAAATTGTATTTTGTTACTAATTGTATATATATATTTATAATTTTTTAAAATATTAATATTTATTTTTTTTAATTTTTTTTTTACTTTGGCCATCTCACCAATAAACCTTTATTATATTTATTTGATTGATTAACCAAATGCATATTACATAATCATAATATTAAGGCTTGACAGCTTGCAGTTACTTTTGAGTATTTACGAATGATCAGCCATACTGAGCAGATATATTTGTACAAATACATCATGATAAATTTCAAAATAAAACTTATCTATCCCAGAAGGCTTTGCCAATCTAATAATATCTTTTTGCAGAGAAGTAGAAAAACAAAAAAAATACTAATACTAATATTAATACTAAAAGAGAAAAATAAAAGACAAGAACTAATACTAAAAACAAACACAAAGACAAAAGTTGGAAGAGAAAAAGAAAAGAAAATCTGACAGGTTACAATTATAGGCCTGTGTCAGACTTTAAAAAATTATATAATACAAAATAAAGAAGCTCTGTATTTAACTCTATTTTAATAATATATATATCTATATCAAAAAATCTATTAAGGAAAAAATATTCTAAATTAAATTAGAAAAACTATACAGAGTAGTTTATAGTAGTCTTAAAGTATTATTATATAGTTTACAGAAGTTGAGACATATTACTACTATATTGTATCAAATATACTATTTCTGTATATAAAGCCTTTACTCAGTTTATTCTGATATATCTGGTCACAGTTTACTAATTCATTTTTTAAATAATCTAAATTATTCTTAAACAAACAATATATTATAAATATCAATTTAAAGAAGTAAATAATATTAACTGTTTTGGTGAATTTATATACAGTCAAACCTCCATAAATGCAATATATACAGACCAGCCTAAAACGTGCATTTAGAGAGGTTTGCATTTAGAGGGAGCCAATCAAATTGTAGCTTTTAATATTTGATCTGCA